CTCCCCAATGTCATTCACCCAGTTACCCCATCCTTCCACCTCCCCACCCTTCCAGCGACCCTCAGTTTGTTTCCTGTGATTAAGTGTCTCTTATGGTTTGTCTCCCTCTCTGGTTTCATCTTGTTTCATGCTTGCATTGTTTCTAAGAGAAGTGTGATGTAATTCTTATTTTCCTCTGTAACTAAATTCCCGTACTTCCTCCCCTCATTTCTCCAATCCCCCGTGTCCCTGATCTGGCTTCTTTCCAGATTTTCTCTTTGTATTTTGTTTTATGCAGTTTTAATATCATAAAGCTAGGTATTGTTTTTGGTATTTATCCTGCTTGGAGTTCTCTGTACTACTTAGATTTGTGGTTTTGTGTCTGTCATTAACTTTGGGAAATTCTCAGCCATTATTACTTGACAAAGCTCCTCTGTTCCTTTCTCTTTCTTCCCCTTCTGGTATTCACATTTTATATATGTTAAACCTGTTATAATTGTCCCACAATTCTCAGATATTCTATTCCATTTTTTCATTCTTTTTTTCTCTTTACATTTCTATTTTAGAAATGTCTATTGACATATCTTGAAACTCTAATTTTTTTTCCCTTGGCCATGTCCATCCTACTGATGGGTGCATCAAAGGCATTCTTCATTTTTTAAAAAAATATTTATTTATTTATTTGAGAGAGAGCAGAGAGCACAAGTCGGGGTGGAGGGGCAGAGGGAGAAAGAGAAGCAGACTCTGTGCTGAGCAGGGAGCCCGATGCTGGCTTGATCCCAGGACTCTGAGATCATGACCTGAGCCAAAGGCAGACACTAAACCCAACTGAGCCACCCAAGCGCCCCCATTCTTTATTTTTGTTATGTGTTGTTATGTGTTTTTGATTTAGCATTTCCTTTTGATTCTTTCTTAGAGTTTCTATCTGTCTGCTTACATACTTATTTATTTTTATTGTCCACTTTTCCCAATAAATTCATTAACATGTTAATCATAGTTGTTTTAAATTCCAAGTCTTATAATTCTAAAATCTCTGCCATATCTGAATCTGTTTCTGATGCTTGATTTATCTCTTCAGACCGTTTCTTTTTGCCTTTTAGTATGCTTGGTAATTTTTTGTTGAAAGCTAGACATAATGTATTGGGGGAAAGGAACTTCGGTAGATGGGTGGTTAGTTTCAAGTCTTATGTTTATCTGGCCAGGAGTTAGGCTGTGTTTACTATTTGTTATAGCTCTGGGGTCCAAGGCTAAAATTTTCTCTGTTTAGTTCTGTTTCCCTTATTGTCTTTGAGTTTTCCTAGAGACCTTAAATAGGGTGTGAATCCTACAGTTCTTCTGTAATTCCCTGTTATTTTATAGGAACCCTAATGATGTGGTGGTAATGTGGGGAGATATAGGAGGAAATGTTCTATACTCCTGTCATTAGGTCTCATTCCTTTAGTGAGCCCGAATTGGCCATTTCCCTTGCCTCATGTCAGTTAAGCTCTGGTAAAATAGTTTCTTTTATGGGCAGGCCTTATTAAGGAGAACAGAAAGGTCTAGAATGTTTCAAAATGGTTACTTTTCCCCTTCCACTGCTGCAAGCAGGAAAGGATTTTTTTCTTGTCTTCACAGTGAGAACCTTGTGGGACTCATGGAAATAAAATTGGGAAACGTTTGGGAGATCTGTCTTTAAGGCTGCACCTCCTATTAATTTTTAATGGTTAAGCTAGTCCATACTGAGCCTGAGCAATTAATCACTTACAGTTGAAGGTGTTCCTTCCACAGTATTGGCTTCAACCTATGACTTATGCACCTGGGCTTTTGCTTCCTGTAAGCCCTGATTCTCTGTATCTGCCTGTCTGTTTTTCCAGTTTTCAGGACAGTAGTTTGCTCTTTGACCTCATTTCTCTGATAGATGTAAGGAGAGTTGTTGATTTTTAATTTGTTCAGCTTTTTTTTCTTTTTGTGCAGATGGTAGTGACTGCTTCCAAGTTCTTTATATGTTGGACAAGAAACCAGAAGTTTATGTTTCTTATTAGAATGAAGATTTCACTTTAGAGCATGCTTAGTCTCTTAAGCCTTGTATGAACTTCCCTAGAAACAATGTTTCCAGTGAATATTTGAACACAGATGACATTTGGACAGAGAATTTTTTCTCCTCTCCTTTTGAAATTATCTTTTGTTGATTTTTCTAAATGCAGAGTACAATCCCATGTAAGCAGGAGAGCAATGGATCCTTGATGCTTTCTTTCTAAACCTTGATTCAGCAATTATAAAAGATTTTTTCTAAAATCTCTTTTTAAAGATTTAAAGATTAAAAAAAAAGAAAAACCCAAACACTTCTCCCTCAAAACATGTAGACAGGATGAATAGCGAGGAAAATTTGTGTACTATTTTTAACTCCTTTCAGTGTACCAGACACTATTCTGTGTGGCTACAAGGAAGAGTAAAGGTGGGATACCCAAATTATAATGTTCTAAGGCTAGTCAGGTAACAGGTGCATGATATAAAGCTTGTATATTACATGATGCTATTCAGTCACATCCAGAGGAGCATAGAGGTGGGACACTTCATCTTAATCTTGGTAGGGTTGAGATGAGGCATGAAGAGTTGCCGGAAACAGTTGACATGTGACGGGGGCTAAAGGAGAACATTCAGGCAGACAGAATTGACTAAGAAATAGAGGGTTTAATCTATGGTTGCTCTTCTTCTGCAGTCAGGAATTAGAGAGCAAGGCAAATTGGGCAAGTTACACAGTGTTTCTCCAACTCTACTGATGTATGGTTTTATTATTTGGTTTGATATTTTGTGAAGACACTTGCCTTATAATGTATTTTGAAACCAAGTGTAAGCAGTTTTTGAACCGTTTTCTATTACCATGTAGTATGAAAGTTGAGAATTAACTAATATTTTATTTCATATTGACTTAAGGTATGAACTGCCAAAATAGTTTAATTTTTTAATTCTCAAATTATGTCTCTGAAGTATTTTGCGTAGTGGTAGAATTAACTTGGGTTTGAATTAAGTTTGATTGGTTTTATTATTGCTTTAAACATAAGGATATTTTATGATTTCATAGGTAATAGGAAATTTTCAGAAATGATAAGCCACTCATTTTAGTTAATCTCAGGTCATTTTTCTTGAAGTGGCAGGCCATTATATAACTTCATACATAATTTTGTCTGATTCTACATATTTTTAGTTTATTTTTTTAAGGTTTACAGCACCACTACCTTCTGGTGAAGGTGTAATGAATATAATTTTGACTACTACATCAAGATATAGGAATACTATTTGATTAATAATTATTGGATTATTGCCTTGTTCTAGTGTAGTGTTGTAGTGTTTGAAATTATCATTACTAGCCAAGGTAAAGCTCTTCTAGCATGCATCCAATATACTCTTTCTAAAATGAATGGATACGTATACATAGAAGAAAGAATTTTGGGCTCCTTAAAGAAAGCAGGATACAGAATCTATTTTAGATTACAGAATATAGCACCAAAGCAATTGACATCTTAATTTTCTAAAAAATTAATCTTCTGATTTTGTTTTATAAAATTTGACTTTTAATTATGTTGCTGCTAAAATTATTCTCTGAGCTTTGTGCATAGATGATTAGAGACGTTTTTGGAGAGAGCAACACTTCTTAAAATGACCATTAAAATCTATTAAATCATTGCTTTCACTTGGTATCTCTTTCCTTTCTTTGCTTTCCTTCACAGAAATAGTGCATTAGCTTTCTAGTTTTGCTATAACAAATTACTATAATTTCAGTGGCTTAAAGCCACACAAATATATTATCTCACAGGTCAGAAGTCCAGTATGATTGTCACCAGATTGAAATCAAGGTTTGCACAGACTATGTTCTTTCTTGGAGACTCCAGGAGAGCATCCATTTACTGCTTATTTGAGTTGTTGGCAGAATTCAGGTCCTTGTAAATACAGGACTGAGGACTTGATTTCTAACTGACTGTTAAAGGGTTATCCCACGTTTTAGAGGCTCATGGTCTCCTTCCTCCATCTTCAAAATCAGCAATGACCATTCAAGGTCATTTCACTTTGCCTCCCTTTGTTCTTCTGTGATCTTCCAGTTTTAAAAAGTTAAAGGATTAGATTGGGCCAATTTGGGTAATCCAGGATAATCTCCCCATCTCTGGTCCTTAACCTTAATCATATCTGCATAATTTCTTTTACCATGTAACATAACATATGACTAGGTTCAAGGAGTCAGAATGTGGACCTATTTGGGGAACTATGTTTCTGCCTGCTACAAACAGTAATACTAACTGGTGCCTAACTTTGCTGGATTAATTTTTCTTTTTTGTATAGAATACCTCTGACTTTTTCCTCCTGGATTCAGTAAATACAAAACAGGTGTTAGGATTCAGTCACGTTAGTACTGTATCAGGTACAATTCCTATATGGAAATCATAGGAGAAAACAGATTCTGGAAACACTGAAAAAAGAAAATATGGTTTCAGAGTACTGCTTTGAAAAAAACAGGAAGTCTTTATATATTTTTGCAAGTTTGTATTAACTGGCCCTAATTTTTAGTATTAAGGTTCATAGTTATTCACATAGCAGCAGGAAGTAAGCCAGAATCTCCTAATTTAGTATTAAAACATTTCAGTTATAAAATGAATAAATACTAGGGATATAATGAACAACATGATGACTACAGTTGACGCTGCTGTAGGATACATAGAAAATTTGGAAAAGAATAAATCCTGAGAGTTCCCAACACAAAGAGAAATTTCTTTCCTTTTTTTACTTTTTTCTTTTCTTTCTATCTAAGTAAGAAGATGGATGTTAGCTGAACCTGTTGTAATCATGTAACAATATATGTAAATGAAACTATCATGCTGTAATGCCTGAAAATTATAGTGATGTATGTCGATTATTTCTCAATAAAATTGGTGGAGGTGGACACTCAAAGATAGGGAGATACTCATTCAGAGCAATAACATAATAATTTATGTGAATTTTGATAATGGATGACATTACATCTTAATGTGTTATTTTTGTTTCCTATCTAGATTATCACAAAGTATGTATATGAGCTCTTGGAAAAGGACTGTAATTTGAAAAAAATCTCGATTCCAGTAAGTCCAGTTTTTAAAAATGATTAAACTTCCAAATCAAATAGTTTTCAATTCAGAAGAAACTATTTATATTAGTTTAACTGTGATAAGTTTAAACATTAAGGTCCTAATATGTTGATACTGATAATGATAATATTAAATGCCTGCCAGTATACCTCATTTCATTGTGCACAATAATTCTTTAAAATTAATACTCTTCAATGTAGAGAAAAAAATAGTGATAACCAGTCTTTTTTGAAAATGATGATGCCTTTAAAAGGACTACCCCCTCTGTCTTTTCTCATTTAATTGGTATAATTTATTTTTATGTATTTTTTGAAGTAAACCAGTGTACTTGATATTGCACTAGACATTCACTGTCTCTTTAATTTCCTGATTTTTATAATTATATATTTTATTTCCATGTTATTTCCTGTACACATTTCCAAATTCATTCCTCATGCTTCCTGTTTTATAACATTGTTCCTTCCCTTTCTTGCAGAACATTCTTTTCAAATTTTGTACATTCTCCCATCTCAGAGTGAAAAAGTTTGAGATTTGTTCTTAGTCTCAAATTCACAAAAAAATTTTTTAATGTAAAACATGATATAATCAAAAAATGAAGAAATAGTAATCTTATCTATGAAACAATGGTGGTGTTAGATTAGATGATCCTTACTGTTCCTAATATAACTCTTTGAGTTATATTGATAACTCAATATAACTGAATTGAAAACTATTTTATGATATATAAAAATCTGGAAGGCTTAATGAAAGTAATTAAGGCACAAAACTTTGCCTATAAATACTTTGTTTACATGAAATTTTGCATGAGATTTTTAAATTCCTTGGGTAGTGTTACTCTACCAAGAATTGGAGGGTTTGAGGATTTTTTAATAATATTTATCCTCACAAATCAATTCCAAAGTTCAATATTTAAAAGGAAAATCTATTTTATGTTTAATTTTATATAAATACGCTCAAATGAGAGGTCACATTGTTAATCATTTATTCAACAAATATTTGTTTAAGAGTCTTTTAGGTTGCCAGGCACTATTCCAAGTGCTTGTAATGTACTAGTGAATAAAATATTATTCTGTACAATAGCTAGGCTAACCCTCATTTACTTGGAAACTTTTCTTCCTTTTGTTCAGTCTTCCTTTCTTGCTAATTTTATTTCTTTCAAAGGTTTTGAAGAACAATATTTAAGGAGACTTAGCTTGGTTTATTGTTATAACACAATTAAGACTGAGCCATTTAACTCTTTAATACTTCTATGTGGAGCTTTTAAACCCCCTTTAATTCCTTAGATTTCCAGAAGAGATCAGAAGATGATTGGCCATATAGATTATGTTATATGATTAAGTTTCCCTAATTTTCTTTATAGAAAGCTTGAGATTAGGGTTAGGAGGACTTTGTTTTATAGATCTGATTACTTTCCTCTCGTTTAAATTTAGACTATAAAGCTAATAAGCAAAAAAAAAAAAAAAAGCTAATAAGCATAGAGAAAGTTTTACATTATATGAGACCTGTAGTAAGTGTCATGTCCATTTTTGGTTAGTAAACATTTCCTGATTTTATAAACTGAAAAGAAACTGAAATTTGTTCTGTTTGTTTTAGGAAATTAATGTCTCTCCTTAAATTATCATCCTATATTTTATATCATTGTGAAATTTTTCTTCTATAACTATTCATTTTCTCCTGAGTTCTCTTAAATCCCAAAGCTAGCAATGAAGGTGGTTTTTTGTTTTGTTTTTGTATCACAGTTTTGTATTACAGTTGTTCTTTTTATTATAGGAATACCACCAAAAGTTTTTTTTTTCCTGATGACGAACTAAGTTTTACTTTTATAGTTGAACTATTTAATAAGGAAAGAAAGACTCCTTTCCTTTCCTTTCCTTTCCTTTTCTTTCCTTTCCTTTCCTTTCCTTTCCTCTCCTCTCCTCTCCTCTCCTCTCCTCTCCTCTCCTCTCCTTTCCTTTTTGTAAATAACAGCACCCTGTGGAAACCTATGATTTGATGGTAAAGATCATGATCATGTCCCATGTTTACTCCATACCTTACATATATGCTCATGTACAAATTATTCTCAATTATAGTATCTTACATTTGTGTAGAACTTCAAATTACATAAATTAACATAATAACCTGATTATAAATTTTCATTTTATTCAGCCATGTTTAAATGATCATCACAATTAGTGGGGTTCATGAGTATCCTAAAGTGAATTGTTAACTGCTAAAAATTGTTTGTTCTCATTGATCAGTTGTTCTTTGAAGTTGATTGGTTAATAAAGTTAGGTGGTGCACTACAATGACTTTTATATGCATTCCTTAATGAAAGCTCAGTTTAGGGAATTAGCGCTGTTTGAAGACAATGGCCTTGGAACAGCCATTTTAAGCTAATGCCGAAAATTATGTTTTATTCATACACATATTTTAGTATTTAAACTTAGTACTAACTTTTTACAGAGTAAGTTATAGATACCAACTTCAGAGTTCTGTGTTAAATTGAGGTGAATATAAGCCAATGACCATCCGAAATACTGCTCTTACTCCTTAATCATTAATACCACTACATTTTTCATTTTCATTGTTTTTTTCCTTAAATATTCTGATGTTATCATGTTTTTATTTTTTTATTTTATTTATTTATTTATTTATTTTTTTATTTATTTACTTGACAGAGAGAGACACAGCGAGAGAGGAAACACAAGCAGGGGGAGTGGGAGAGGGAGAAGCAGGCTCCCCGCAGAGCAGGGAGCCCGATGCGGGACTCGATCCCAGGACCCCGGGATCATGACCTGAGCTGAAGGCAGTCGCTTAACCAACTGAGCCACCCAGGCGCCCCGTTATCATGTTTTTAAAGTCAATTCTTCTACATGTTCAAGTAAAACTTTTATTCATTTATTCATGGCTACCTTAATTTGCAGCCCTTAAATATTTTTGAACAGCATTTTAATATAAAACACACATTTTTATCTTCTGAAATTAATCACTCTTCCAGTTTTAAAGTGATTACTATGGAATTTAAAGTGCCAACATTCCATTGCTTAAAAAATTGACTCAGCTCCTTGGTAACAGGGGACTTAGTCAAATAGAGAAAAGAAATAGTGAACAGCACCTACTGGAAAGTCTATAGGTACAGGGTTTCTTCTTATTAAGACAAACAGATGTCCATTTCCATAGCATTCCTGGATCCATTAAGGCCTCAATGATTTTAAGAGGTACTTTTATTTGTGCACATTTAGACGTACTCTTAGATTGAGTGATTCCTCTGTTTTCATATAACATTCATAGGTAAAAGGGAATTTTTCTTCTCAGATTTGGTTTTCCCCATCTCTCATCTATTTCCCTTCCTCTGACTTAAGTCATACCTGCTGTCATCATCATAATTTGCTTACTCTGGACATCACGTGCAAGAGAAGCTAATGTGACTGTTTTACACTTCATACTTCATTTACTGCATACTTAATTACTACTAATATACACTTATGCCATTTTAGCACTGTGTAGCTCTTTTAAAATTCTTTACAGTCATATATTAGTTTAATCTTCAATATATGCTTTCTGAACCAGGCAAGTATTGTAACAAGTTAAGAGGACACATTATTTAGTTAAATGCCTTTTATTTAAAGGAGGCCACTGGTGATGCTAGATAACATTCCTTATTCTAAAAGTTTATTCATTCCTTTATTTACTGAGTGCCTACAATGTGCCAGCCTCTCTTTTAGACATTGGGAATGTAGCTGGATACAAACAAAAGTCCATGCCTTCCTGGATTTGCATTCTGGCGGTGGGAGGAGATGGTTAATAAACAGTTACATAAACAAATTTATAAAGTAAAACATACATTAGATTGTGGTATATGCTATGAAGGGACTAGGGAATTCTTGGGGAGAGTTTAAATGGGGTAGTCAGGAAAAGCTTCCCTGAGGAGAGGATATATTTTTAAGCCCTGTGGCTGTGCTCTTCTTGCTGAAATAATTGCCCTTTGTGCTGTTTAAACAAATGGCCACTGATCTATTTGTTTTAGAATTAAAGAAATTTTAATTTTTTTCTCTTCCCAGGAATAGTGACTGGGAACATTTAGGTCCAGGACATTTTTTTTTTTTTTTTGGTATCTGAGGTTTTTGTCTATTTTTTAGTTTCATAATTTTATGAATATATACTGTTGAAGAAGTGAAGAACTATTTCATTACACAGGATGTGGACTGAACTTTTCTATGTGAGTCTGTGTATTACCAGCCATCAAGACTTTAGCTTCTGGCTCTGACATGGCTGCACAAAAGCTTCCATTCCCAGTTACTGGCCACTGCTGATGTGGAATACCATTCAGTGCCAGCGATCAGTCATGTATAAAGGTTGGGAAGTTATCTTTTTGTAAGTCTTTTGAGTTTCTCAAATCTAAAACATACATCATCTGGTTTAAACCTAAACATTAAGTACAATCAAAATGTATAAAATATTCATTCCATAAATAAGTACTACATAAAATATATAAAAATGCTCATCCTATAAATATTTAGTATATAAAATAAAGTTATAGGAATACATAAATAATATTCCTTCATAAAATACTTGTGATATGAGCCTATGTTCAAATTATGAATGAAATTTCAAAGATCATTTACATAGAATAGTAGGTGATTGAGTTTTTAAATAGTTCCCTCTCCCGTCTTTTAAAAGCTTAGTAGTATTCCTGGCTAATATACGATTTTCCAACAGGTATACGCTCCAGTTGGGTTTTTCTGTTTTCTATTATAGATGCAATATACTTCTGTTATAGAATTATAGACTCTAGTTCTGTGATCTTAGGCAAGTTATTTAAACTCTCTAGGCCTCAATTTCTTCATCTATAAATGAAGATAATAATAATACCACTTTAATGAGACTGTGTTTGAGATAATGTTTTTAAAACATTTAGCATAGTATCTACACCATAGGAAGCACTCAAAAAATCAGTTATTCTTATTTATATTATAATATAAAAGTCTATCAATAATATAGGGAGATGCATTTCCAGTATTCGTTTGTCCTATTACTATCATGTCTTTTATGCTAATCCATCTCATATGTAGTTGTTAATGTCTAATGAATATTTTAATTTTTAAAGCTTTTTTACTACTATAATTCTGAAATAGCCATTCTGTAATTTATGGTAACCATTAGTTGTTTTCTCATTTATGTCTATGCCTGACCAGAAAACATTTATTTATTATTTAATTTTTTTTTTAATTACAGGTAGATGCCACTGAGAGTGAACCAAAGAGTTTTATCTTTATGAGTGAGGATGCTTTGACAAATCCACAGAAACTGATGGTTTTAATTCATGGTAGTGGTGTTGTCAGGGCAGGTCAGTGGGCTAGAAGGCTTATTATAAATGAAGATCTGGACAGTGGCACACAGATACCTTTTATTAAGAGAGCTATGGATGTAAGTGCAATTTCTTTTATATTTTTTTGGCATTTTATAGCTCTGTTTTATTATGTGTTATAAATTATTTTATCCTGTCTCTTCAAAAGTACATTCTAAACATAATTTTATCTTTAAATTGTTTTTTTATTTGTAATGAAAGATTATTCTGCATTATTTTGCAGTTAGAATGAAAAACAAAATGGTATTTTATTTAGGTAATGTCTTTGAATGAATATTTTTATTCTAAATTTATCATTTAAAATTTCACTTAAATTACCAAATACTTATCAATATTATTTAAAATACTTATAAAAACATCAAGAGTGCTTTTGTAAATCTTTGCCTACCTAATTTAGTTAAATTGTAAGCTAAAGGAAATCTACTTGAAATTAATTTCTTATTCTTTAAAAGAAGAGTTTAAAAGAAAGAGTTGGAATAACTCAGTGTTTGTCATTTCTTTAAAAACTCTAGAACTCAGAAATAAAATGCTTTATGCATTAGACAAAGGCCTGTAAAATGGTAAATTGAAATATTTACTGAATTACTTTATTCTTACTTGAATTCTACCTTTCTAGAAACTGATATTTTAAAATTGTATTCAAGGTTTTCTTTCCTATAATAGTGAAATTGTTTTTGTTTTTTTGTTTTTTGTTTTCTTGTTTTTTGTTTTCTTTTTTGTTTGTTTGTTTGTTTGTTTTTGACCTAGCATTGTTAACATCTTAATGTTTGGCTTTTTTTTTTTATTGTCTCATTCTTTTTTTTTTTTTCTAATTTTATTTTATTATGTTGTTAATTATACTGTGTCATTCTTATGTTCAGTGAACAGCCAAATTTTGCAAAGTATAGGTTTCTTTCAAATATGAATAGAGATTTTCTTCAGAAAAAAGTGTTTTGTAAAAAAAGATTTCATATAAGAACTTAAAGTTGTTTAGGAATATATGTGTATGTATGCTTTATAAGAGCTACATTATTACATTTTTGTAATTACAATGGGAGAATTGCTTGATACATTGATGATTTCAAAGGTCAAAGATAAGTTCCCTGCTCTTTTACCTCTGAAATGATAAAATTAAGGCCCAATACAGCTCTTAGAGTATATTTTTGTTAATAGTTTTTGAGGCCCTTAAAATGCTTCAAGTAGAATTTCTTAGGTTAATTGTGTATTTTTTTTTCAGTGTTCATGAATATGCAAAGAACACAAGACATTACTTTTGATTGGTTGCAAATGTCAGCAGTGCAGTTTTAGTAGAATTTAAGTAAAATTTGGTAGAATTTAAGTAAATATTTAGATTGAGGTAACTCACATAAAATATTGTATTACTTAAACATTTATATTTCCAACTATAAATACTGAAATGAACTTTCTCTCTGACACAGTTTGTGGTTATAAGAGATCCTATCAGTGATTAAGAACATTACATGTGAAATGTGATCACAGTACAGTGTATATTTGAAAATATAACTTAGTAAAGAAAATCATGTGTTTGTACATATGAGGGCTTGGTGAAATGCTGTATGTAATTATATTGTTCCTGCTACTAGATCAACTAAGCCTTTCCTATTTTAGAATATTTTATTGTTATGTAAGATTTTTCAAGATGAAAGAGTATGATAAGTCATGCTAAACATCTTGAACAAACTATCTGTTGATATCCCAAACAAGAGGGAGGAAGTTTGTCAGTAAATTTAGACTAGTCAGGCATTTTGTTCTTACAAGTAGAAGTGTAGTGTTTAGAAACTAACAGCATTTCATTGCCTTGACTGTTTTCTGCTTTTCTCAATAATAGCAACTCATGATTCCTTAAAAAAATCAGCTGATTTCTTAGTACTTTAGTATTTAGTGTATTTAGTATTTATGTGTTGTATACTTAAAATTTTAATTGATATACTTTTTTCTCTTTATAAAAAACTGGATATGAACTTTATTGTGGTAAATTTCTACATGATGAATATTTAAAAATGGATATCTCTTTTTAATCTAGATAAAGTGATTTGTTACTTTGGCTTTACCTTTTCATGGTGTTTCTGTGGTGGTTCTTCCAGGGCTACCGTGTGTTTGTGTGTGGTGGGAGGACACTGGTGGGAAAGGGGTGGTATTCTAGGAAGCGGGCAGAGGAAGACTGGGAGGAGAAAAGCTGTCTCATCCTTACCTTTTAATCAGATTAGCTCTATTTTTATTTTGTGGACTTGGTTCTAAAATTGTATTTAAAGAAATGTTTCCAAAGTTTACAAAAGAGTGGGAGCACTACTCCTATTTTTTGTGATCTGTCAGTTTTTCATATCACAACTGAATTCTGATATTTCTCAGTATAGACCATATGATCTCTACTCAGTGTTGTTAATAGTATGTCTGCTATGGCAGCTGTCCCTCAAGCTCACCCACTCTCACTAATAAACTTTCCTGCTTGCACAGCTCAAAAAAAAATTTTCTGCTATATCTCTTGCAGATTTTTAGGATAAGATTAAAGGTCCTAATATTGAATTCATCGCATTATAAGGTTAAAACTTTTTCCCATCAGTAGAACCCTGCCTCCGAGCAGACTGTTCTGTAAAAAGTAGGTTTTGGGTTTTTTTTTTAGATATATTTTTTTAAGATTTTATTTATTTATTTGACAGAGACAACGAGAGAGGGAACACAAGCAGGGGGAGTGGGAGAGGGAAAAGCAGGCTTCCCGCAGAGCTGGGAGCCCGATGTAGGGCTCGATCCCAGGACCCTGGGATCACGACCTGAGCCGAAGGCAGACGCTTAACGACTGAGCCACCCGGGCGCCCCTGTAAAAAGTAGGTTTAAATCTATGGAGCCACTTCGGTTGAAGCTGGGGTGAGGATTGGAGCAACTTCTACAACGACCCCTGATATTTCTTCCCCAAACCCTAGGGCTCCATAGCTAACAGTCTGAACATTAAAGATATTCCAGTCCTTGCATTTTAGATACTTTAGACCTTTATTATAAAAAGTTTTTTTTTTTTTTTAAGATTTTATTTATTTATTTGACAGAGAGAGACACAGCGAGAGAGGGAACACAAGCAGGGGGAGTGGGAGAGGGAGAAGCAGGCTCCCCACAGAGCAGGGAGCCCGATGTGGGACTCGATCCCAGGACCCTGGGATCATGACCTGAGCTGAAGGCAGTCGCTTAACCAACTGAGCCACCCAGGCGCCCTATTATAAAAAGTTTATTAAGATTTGATGTTGAAGAAATAGTACATATCAGATACATCCCTACAGTGCTTCTGAGGTTGCCATAGCTCATATTTTTAGTGTTTAACAGTCTTCATTGCATAATACATTACTTGGAGTAAGAAACAGTACATGATATAGCCAAGTACTGATTATTCAGTGTTTGTGCAGTTTGAGAGTTACTCATACATGTTTCTTCTCTGATCTTTTCTCATGTGTATCTTTTTAGGCATTTCAGTTGGTCTCTGTAAAATGGGCAAGGAAAGAAAAGTCATTACACTACTTAAAGTCATTTAATTACTAATTACAGGTGTAGAACAGGGGTGCAGAATTTAAGGAGTCTGTCACTCTCAGGGTTGTGCAGTATCTGTAGGACCCCGAGAGTGAGTACCTCCTTAAATTTTGCATGCTAGGCATCTCTCTGATCTCTCCCTGTCCAGGCTTTGACTGATGGAGATGTACTCAATCAATAAGTTTTATGGAGAGTAGTTTGGGAGCCACTGGTCTATAGTCAAATTTTTCCATGCATCAGAATCACTTGGAGAGCTTGTTGAAACACAAATTGCCTTGTCCCAAGGGGGGATTTTGATGCAGAAGGGTCTGGTTGGAGCCTGAGACTTTACATTTCTAAGACTCTTCCAGGTGATGTTTATGCTCCTAATCTGGGTACCACACTAGAACCTTTGGGGTAGGTAACACTCTTTGGACTGGTTGAGAGTTTATTTATACTTCTCAGGCTCTAGGTATAATGGATAAGGTAGAACTTGATGGCAATTATATTTAGTATGACAGAAAGTAAGAAGTTCTAGGAAATGTTTTATAATAAAATCAGTGGAGAAGTAAAGTTTAAGTTATGAAGAATACTTTCAAAACACTATTGATTCATATTCAACGTGACAAAATTTATTGATTTTAATAGTTTTGTAAGATGTCTGATTACTTCACTAAGCCCACATTTTTACTAATTTCTCATAGCTGGATTATTTAGAAAGATCTGATGTTTCCATAATTACTTGCCTTGACTATAATTTTCATGCTGTTATATCTAAGTTTAAAAATTATGCTATTTTTATCAATGTAATTGATATAGTTTGGGTTCTAAAACGTGGTGGACTGAGCTAATTAATATGCATTTCTCCCTTCCACAAACAGACACATAAGAATAATGGATAAAACATAGCAACAACAAAAATATTAAGTATCTAGTTATGTCCAAAAGATAAAAAAGGAATCTTTAAATGCCTAACTACAAAAGAAAACTTAAAACCACAATGTTAAATCCCACTAGTGCATAGCAACCCAAAGGGGATAGCTGATGAGATATAAGCCCTAGGTCTACATTACAGCTTTGAGTTTGAGAGGCAGGTGCTAATACCAAGACCCTTGGGTATAGCTAAGGCCTGGAAGTTTCTGCCCTTTGAGTTTTCAGGGGTAGAAAAATCAGTTCATGGCCAAAGGTGAAAAGAGGTTTATTTGCCAGAGAGGCCAGGTGGGGTAAATAAACATCCTCCCTTGGGAAATAGAAGCCACAGATCGCACCCTGAAGTTGGATTTGGATTTGTAGCCTGAATTTAGACAGCCTACGTAAGTGTGGGAATCTCAAACAAGGTATATGAATATAAAAAGGGATTCGGAATTAATGAAACTTTTGGGGTACTAGATGGAAGCAAACATGTAACTTCCAGTAGCAACACTTTCCAACCCAGGGTAAATACCTAGTGAAGATGAATTTCTGGTCAGAAACTAAAAATTATATGAGGAAATGATTCATCACAAAAGTCAGGTCAGGCAACCAACTATCAGACACTGCTGAAGAGAGAACTGGGGTAAATTAAAACCTA